TCTAATTAACCACCTAAAAAGCTGGAGGTGGAGCTGTGGCACAAGTGGGGAAGTGCTAGCCTTGAGCACAAAAAACTTAGGGACAGTGCCCAGGCCCTGAGTTCAAGTCCCAGGGTTAGTACACATACACATCAAAACCCTGCAGCCACTTACTTGCACCACTCCAGCTTTGGTGTTCTTGTCAGCAGACTTGTTCCTTGTCCTCTCAGTTACTGGCAGGCCAGGTAGGTTCATTGAAAATGCAGAAATCCCTAACCAGTAATTAAGCACTTCTGAAGAATAGACAGGCTTCTTGTCATTTATTTGAGTTATTTCCAAGCGACAGTTACAAAAGTCTTAAATTTTTATAATACTCTTGATAAGAAAATAAAATTTAAATAAAAATACATTCTCGACAATACAACATGGTTACACAAATTCACCATATTAAGTTTTGGTAACTTACATTTCCAAACTGGATACTGTAAAAAACCAATATTTTCTAGCAACATATTAATTTCCAAGTTAAAAATGGAAGCGGATGGTATCAATCAAGGCTGGTAATTTAAAGTCTAGAAATGAGTCTTGTATTTGTCACATACTGTAAAGAAACCTGAAAAAGTCCACAAATTTCTCTTTACAAGACGTACCGTTAGAGCGAATTAAAGGTGCTTTGACTAAAAAAAAATCATTTTTAAAAAACGTGGCATGAACGAGGTTTTCTAGTAAAAGGAGGAAACCAGGCTTCAGAAACAAAAGTCACATCAGTTATCACTTTTTGTAAAATTAAAAAAAAAAAGCCTCTTTTTGACACTTAGTCATTACCCGTGATGGCGAAAAACATAGTTCTTTGGCAAATAAAATAGTTCAGTTTGATAAATTATATTTCCTGGGAATAAAAACTTTGCTGTTGTCCATTCTCTTATTTAAAAAAAATATCAAAACAAGCTAAACAATAAAAAACAATGAAGTAAGCAGATTGCCATCGCTGACCTGAAGAATGAGGGCGGCGTGGCAGGAGCTCCCGCCAGCTCCCTTTTCGGGCCTTCCTGGGATCCCAGGACTTGGAGGGAAAGCGAGCTGCCATGGATATGTATTTTTCCCAGATGCTTTTGGAAGAGGCAGAGAAAGCAGTCCAGGGAGTAAAGACTCAAAAGTTCACGCGCAGATAACAGGCTTTCTACCTTGGCCTTAGGGTCCTGAGGACATGCTCTAGTTGCAAAAGAATTTCAAGGAAAATTAGTTTAATTCATATTTCTTTTTAAACTGCAAGGTGTGATCTTTAAAATAACCATAATTGTGGGGAATCTGACATTAGGAATGTAATGTTAGTAAAATGTATCTTTTGTCTTAAAAAAAAAAAAAACATAAGCCGGTGTGGTGGCACTCTCCTGTAATCTTTGCCCTTGGGAGGCTGAGACGGAGAACGTTAACCTGGGTCACGTAGTGAGACGCAGTCTCAAAACACAAACTGAAAAACAAATCCCTCAAAGCTCCAAATCCCCTGACAACAGGAGAAGAGTGAAGCTATGCATCCCTCTCCCGCCTGCTTCAGGTGGACAATTTAGATTCTTCATAGGAATTTTCATCTGAGTGGGTGCAGAAGTCTAGTGGGGCTGATGGAGTCTGAGTTGATGGAGCTGAAGGACCTGGGCTGGGCCAACCAGTCAACCCCACAGAGGACTAGAGCTGACCTTTCACCTCACGCCCAGACACAAGCACCACATGCCAGCAGTCCTTAAAACAATGCAAGTGACGCCCTTGGCAAATGTTCCTCAAAACGTAGCTTATGCTGAGGGAAACAACAAGAAAGCACTACTAGCTAGATTTACATGGATAGGTCACAGTTTTTAAACGGGAACGCAAGTAAATACTCCAAGGTTCAAAGTACCACATTTGAAAAATGCTCTGAATTAAAAACAACAACAACAACAAAAAAGACAAAGAGTACCATGGTCTTTAATACTGAGGAAGCAAAGTGTTCCTCCGCCTCCGGGCGGCCACTCGCTTCTGCTGCTGCTGAGCAGCCGAGTTCTGAGGACAGGCGGGATTCAGACGGCTGCTGCCCCGCGCCCCATCTGGCTAGCAGGCCACAAGGAAACAGCAATGGAAAAGAAACCTTTTCAGGAAAGCACGGTTTGTACACTTACACAGCGATCATTCAACTGATCATAAAGACAGATACCATGCAGTATCTCAAGGATAACCTGGGGCAGGCCAGATTAGTAAAGTGCGCCAAGTGACTGGTCCCAAGTGGGCTGGGACGCCCGCTCGGAGAGGCAGGAGGGAGTGGGTGGAGGCCGCGGCTACCCCTCCTCTCGCTGCTCGCTCTCCTCAGGAGTCTCCTCAGGCTCCACCCGCATCAAGACAATGAGTACCTGGTATTCCTACCGATGCCATTTCCGTTCCCCCATGTAAACGAGATGCGGCCGCCGCCCAGCACGATGCAGCCCGCTTCTCCCGGGGCTGCAGACGCTCCGGCATTTCCCCAGATCTGTAGCCGCCTCCGTTAAGGGACCCAAGGGAACACTTTTTTCTCTTTCTTCCTTTTTCAAAAGAGGACAGGTCCAGATGAACCAAATGGGAAGCTGTGGAATTTTCTAGAAGAACAAGAAGGTGGGCGGTGGAGAGCAGGCACTAGTGGCAGTGAACAAGTCTGCGCAATGGGATCACGGGAGGGGCTGGCTTCCCTTAGAAGGCTCCGTCCTTCACAATGTCCTTTGTACAGGAAAGCCGCAGAAGCAGGGGTTTAGACACACAGGGATGAAGGACATCTTGGGTTTCAAATTCTTTAGTAATACATCAATACAGGAGTCCCAAAGTTAATTTCAGTTATTAAATATTAAATACAATGTGAACGCAGGCGATATTGAAGCCAATGTTCATTCTTAAATACTATAAACAAAACATACGATTGAAAAACTCCAAGGAAAAAGTATTTTCCAGTTCTTCTGAGTCAGTTGGTCCAACTCTAAGATGTTTTTCCAATTGGATTTTCCCTAGAAGACAGTGAAAGAAAAACATTTTTGCAAAAGAAACGAACACTGCACATCTATGTGTCACGGCCAGTCACTCTGTTGACATGGATCGAGATTTGGGCCGTTCTGGCCATAGTAGCAATGGGAGCAGACCACCCCTCAACGGCCTGCCACAAGACAGACAGGAGAGGGGGAAGGGGCTGGGGAGGGGGAGAGGGCAGGAGAGGCCAACTACTCCAGTGCTCTCCCACCCAGCCAGCCCCAGCTCCTTCAAGGCCGCTACATTTTTGGTTTGAAAGCTGGCCTTGAGGAGATGACCTACAGGTGTGTACCTCCGTATGCGGCAGTGTTTTATAGAGCAAAGTAGAGCTGGGCAGGTACAGTGTGCATGCATATGATGGGGACACTGCCGAAGAGAATCAAGTACACTACACTAATGTAGAAAAGACAGAATTACAATGAACAAATATTTGCACCTATTGAAAAACCCAAATTTTAGTGCTCATAAATATAAATGTATTAATGTACGTAGTGGGACGAGGGTTCAGAGCCTTCCCATTAATCAGCTATGAAGCCTTTGTAGCAAAGCATATAACTTTGCTGTGCTTCAGTTTCTCTTGCTATAAAGGCTGATGTGGGGCTAGGAATGTGGCTTAGTGGAAGAATGCTTGCCTAGCACGTATGAAGCCCTGGGTTCGATTCCTCAGTACCACATACACAGAAAAAGCTAGAAGTGGTGCTGTGGTCCAAGTGGTAGAGTGCTAGCCTTGAGCACAGAAGAGGCTTAGGGATAATGTCCAGGCCCTGAGTTCAAGCCCCAGGACTGACAAAAACAAAAAACAAATAAAAGGCAGCTGATGTGAGGCTGAGTCCAGCAGACTGTGGCAGACCCAGTCATCAAGCTGGAGAATACAGAAGTCATCTTGCTGGGCACGGCAGAGCTCTGAGTTGACCTCCTGGAGAGGATTTCCTGATACAGCTCTGGCTGCCCCTCCACGGTGCCCACCTCTGCCAACACTGAGACATTCATGGAAAGGCTCCCAGCTCTACACACTCTCAAAGTGCGAGGCGAAGCCTTCGTCTGCTCCCAGTGCGTCCCAGCATACTTACTTGCTCCCGTACTTGGCACTGCTTGACCGTTTCTTCCGGTACTTTTCATGCGGTTCATCCAGCTTCTCTATGATGCTTTTTATTTGCTGGATTGTCTTAAAGGTTGTCACTGAGTCCTCAATCACAAAGCTGGCATGGTCCTCAGGCTCCTTCTGTGGCCCTTGGTAGACGGCTATGGTTCCACAGGCCTCTACAAGGAGCAGCGTGACAGTGCATCAGAAACTACGTTCCACAATGCAATGGTGCCAAGTCAAAACTTCCCGTGTCTCAAGCTAGAGAGATGTCCTCTGGCCATGCACGTGTGATGAAAATATACCAACTGTATTTGGACCATCATATTTATATAAAACTTGTAATTTTACTTTGTAAATACATCTAATGAGTGCATCCTTTAAGGGTTTAGAAACTCCGTATTAACCTCTTGGTAAAACTAAGTATTTCAACATTTTTTTTGGCCAGTTGTGGCTTGAACTCTGGGCCTGGGCACTGTCCCTCAGCTCGTCAGCTCAAGGTGAGTGCTCTACCACTTGAGCCACAGCGCCACTTCTGACTTTTTCTGTTTATGTGGTGCTGAGGAATCAAACCCAGGGCCTCATGCATGCTAGGTGAGCACTCTACCACTGAGCCACCTTCCCAGCCCCTTAACTTCTTTCTTGCCAGGGCTAGCTTTGAACCACATCTTCAGATTTCAGCCTCCTGAGTAGATAAGATTATAGACATGAGCCACCAAGTCCCGGCAGAGTATTTTCATCTTTTTAATGATGCTAGAGAAATAGTTCAGGAAGTGTTAATCAAACACATGGCTTTATAGAAGTAGACAGTGTACTTACCTTCCATCTTCTGCAGCTTAAGTAAACTGAGGGTAAAAAGGGAATAAATCCTTTCTGTCTCTCTGTCTTCATCGATATCTATTTGGATGTCTGCAGGGACACCTCTATAGCGAGAAGAAAATTAAAGACATTGGAAAAATTTTACCTTATTAATATGAAGAAGATTTTTGATGGTTTTAAACTAAATGCGGAATTAGAATTTTGCAAAAGGAACTTCAGAAATTTAGTTGGATTGCTAACCAAAAAAATGGGGTCAAAGCCGGGCGCTGGTGGCTCACGCCTGTAATCCTAGCTACTCAGGAGGCTGAGATCTGAGGATCGCAGTTCAAAGCCAGCCCGGGCAGGAGAGACCATGAGACTCCTATCTCCAATAAACCACCAGAAAACCAGAAGTGGCGCTGTAGCTCAAGTGGTAGAGCGCTCGCCTTGAGCTGAAGAGCTGAGGGACAGCACCCAGGCCCAGAGTTCAAGCCCCACTACCGACAAAAAAAAAATGGGGTCAAGAGAAGTTTGGTCTTTATGTGACTCTAAGCCTAAGGAGGGGGGTTTTACTGAGTCACATAAAGTAAAATCATTTTCCCAACATGCACTCTGTAACAAAGGCAAATCAGTTTTTAATTCTGTTGGGTCATGCCAGCTGTTCCATCCTGCCACACAGTGGGTGCCCAGTCTGTGCTGGAGACAGGGTGCAGGGCACTGGGCATACTCAGCCAGGACTGAGCCCTTAGAATTTTCCTCACATTTTCATCACTCCAAGAAGAAATCCTGTATTCATGAACACTTTTAATTGCCCTACTCATACAGGCCTGGCATCACTAATCTTTTTTTTTTTTTTTGGAGGGGGGGGGAGGTCCGGTCATGGGGCCCGAACTCTGGGCGCTGTCCCTCAACTCTTCAGCTCAAGGCTAGCGCTCTACCACTTGAGCCACAGCACCACTTCCGGCTTTTTTTTTCTTATGTGGTGCTGAGGAATTGAACCCAGGGCCTCATGCATGCAAGGCAAGCGCTCTACCACTGAGCCACCTTCCCAGCCCTGGCTCTTTTCTTTTTGCTTATGTGGTGCTGAGGAATCGAACCCAGGGCCTCAGGCATGCAAGGCAAGCGCTCTACCACTGAGCCACTTCCCAGCCCCATCACTAATCTTTAAGTAAGTCAAACCTATCCTTCTTGAACATATTGTGTGTGTGCTGGTCCTGGGTTTGAACTTAAGGACCTGGAGCTTTTTTTCCTCAAGGTTGGCACTTTACCACTTTGAGCCACAGTTCCACTTCTAGCTTTCCGGTGGAGATAAGAGTCTCACAGACTTTTCTGCCTGGGCTGGCTTTGAACCGCAATCCACAGATCTTAGTCTCCTGAGTAGCTAGGATGACAGACATGAGCCACTAGCACCAAGCCTTCATTCTTTCTATGGCTAACATATATTCCACCATTTGGATGTAGCCCCTTTTGAAACCTCTTCCTTTGTGGTCAGAAGGAACTTACGCGGTGCACGGCTTGCAGCCCGGAGTGTTCTCACTGCTCTCTTGACAGCACAGCCAGTTCCCGTTGAGATAGGCAGAGGGGTGGTAAGAACTGAGCCGGTTCTGATTGCACCGGCTCACCCTGCAGAGCACGTCTATCCATTCATTCGCTTCCACACAATTATTTGCCTGCACATAGAGTGGCTTCTCCGTATGAATCACTTGGAACATCTTCACAGGCAATTAAGATAAGAGAGAGTCTTAAAGATGGACACAGTACACATAGCAGAAACAAGCAGATAGTGGAAACCTTCCTGGCTGATTACTAGGGGACTGCTGCTCAGGTACTTTATGAACTGTTATTTTTCAAGCAAGTCGGTCCTCAGACAATGGTGCTAAGCAGCACAGCAGAGCAGTTTCTAGACGCCACACCTGTCTGACAGAATGGAGCGCCATGTACCTAAGTGCAAGGCGTAGGATGGAAAGCAGGGGAGACGCTGAGGAGCAGGGCTACTTCTTGGGTGCCAAGGGCGCCCTGTGGCAGCAGGCAGGCGGGAGCACAGGATGGTGACAATAGGTAACCCCGGGATGGAGTCTGAGACAATCATAGGAAACACTAAAATTCCTTAAAATTTTTTTTTTGGGTCCGGTCGTGGGGCCTGAACTCTGGGCCTGGGCACTGTCCCTCAGCTCTTCAGCTCAAGGCTAGCATTCTACCACTTGAGCCATAGCGCCACTTCTGGCTTTTTTCTTTTGCTTATGTGGTGCTGAGGAATCGAACCCAGGGCCTCAGGCATGCAAGGCAAGCGCTCTACCACTGAGCCACCTTCCCAGCCCCTCAAAATTTTTCAACTAAGTAATGCATACAGTTTAATAATCTTTATATACAACGTACGTTTTTCTTATTGAAAGAGCTCTCTTCCAGTTTTTCCACAGCAAGAATGTTTTTTACTGGAATTGTATAAATGGCATCTTTGCCTAAAATGAGAAGACAAAGTTGAAATTTCCATGCCATCAGAATTGCACAGGCAAGAGGTTAATCTTGTAAGGTGTAAGCAGTTCCTCTTGAAGCAAGCATATATAACCTATAGATTGCCACACAGTTTGTATGTAAATGTTTCAATGGAGTAGATATTTTCTATAAAATGACTTTAATGTATACATTATTTTTTTTTGTGTGTGTATGCTAGACCTGGGGCTTGAACTGCCCAGAGCTTTTTCACTGGTATTGAGGATACAAGTGCATTTCCCCCTCCCCCTCTCACAAGTGCATTTTTTAAAGGTGATTCTTGCTGTTGTTTTGTTTTTTGTTGGTTGTGGGGCTTGAACTCAGGACTGCTGTCCCTGAGCCAATGTGTGCTCAAGGCTAGCGCTCTACAACTTGAGCCACAGTGCCACTTCTGTTTTTTGAGAGGTTAATTGGAGATAAGAGTCTTGCAGGGACTTTTCTGCCTGGGTGGAATTGGGCTCCTAATTGAGCTCTGAGAGTTAAATACACTTTCAAGTTCTAAGGGGCTGATGTTGCTCCTCATACATTAACACTCAGTGGGTCTCACCAAGGAGTTTTAGAAAACAGCACACACTGAATGGCCATTTTAGCATTACAAGGAATCCAATGTGTAATGAAAATATGCTATAGTACACTTCTACAATATTTCTAAGTATATACCACTGTGAGAAATTATATACTATTACTAATACCATGAAAGGAGCAATACACATCAAACAGCACAAACCCACGGTAAAGCATGGACACAGCTACCTGGCTGCTTGCGGTAGGTGAGCTCTCTGCTTGTCAGGCAGAACCATCGCCTTTTGAAGTTCTTTTTTCCAATCCGAGTTCTCCCCTGAGCTCGTTTATACATCTCGCTGCCAAAACAACAGATGTAAAGACTTAGCTGCAAAGATGAAGCCAGTTCATCTAAAACAGAACTGTTCTTTGATGTTTAATGGCATACATAGGTATATGAGGATGTATTAGGTATATTAGAGTTGGTAAGAATTAAGGGGTTCGTATACTATTTAAATTGTGTGGGGGTAGGGGGGTGGAGGGGCTGGGAAGGTGGCTCAGTGGTAGAGCGCTTGCCTTGCATGCCTGAGGCCCTGAGTTCGATTCCTCAGTACCACATAAGCAAAAAGAAAAAAGCCGGAAGTGGTGCTGTGGCTCAAGTGGTAGAGCGCTCGCCTTGAGCTGAAGAGCTGAGGGACAGCGCCCAGGCCCAGAGTTCAGGCCCCACGACCAGAACCGCCCCCCCCCCTCCCCCCCCCCCGCCAAAAAAAAATTGTGCTTCTGAATAAAAAAGTGTTAACTAAGTGGTTCCTTTTTCTTTTTTGGTCGGTCGTGGGGCTTGAACTCTGGGCCTGGGCGCTGTCCCTCAGCTCTTCAGCTCAAGGCGAGCGCTCTACCACTTGAGCCACAGTGCCACTTCTGGGCTTTTCTGATTATGTGGTGGTGAGGAATTGAACCCAGGGCCTCATGCATGTGAAGTAAGCACTCTACCACTGGGCCACCTTCCCATCCCAAGTGGGTCCTTTTTAATATCTAACAGTAACCACTCTAAAACTGAATAAATAGTGCTGCCAATTTCCTAAGTACTCCTTGCAAAACAACTCTGGGACTGTGGGTGGAAAGTCCTGTCCCTTTGATGTGAAGTATTTTGTTAGAATAGGGAGGGTGACGTGGCGAGCAGAGCAACAGCTCAAGCCTGCCAGTTACTCCAAACCCAGACCCTGGGTGCTTCATGGCTCCCAATCCAGTCTAGCTGCAGTACCCTTCTTTCAGATGCACAGGCTCACTCGTGCCGCTGGACTCTTTAGTTTCAGTAGATGAAATTTCATCCAAGAACTGTATGGGGGAAGTGGAGAAATATTACACTGTGTGGATAAAGTAAAACATAACAAAAAATTAAGTTTCTCTTCTACGTTACTGATTACATGAGGAAGTCTTTCCTTCACTGTTAAGGAACACACATAATACATACAAAATGTTTGGCATGGAGCTGGGAAGGTGGCTCAGTGGTAGAGCACTTGCCTTGTATGCCTGAGGCCCTGGGTTCGATTCCCAGCACCACATAATCAAAAAAGAAAAAAGTCAGAAGTGGCGCTGTGGCTCAAGTGGTAGAGCGCTAGCCTTGAGCTGAAGAGCTGAGGGACAGCACCCAGGCCCAGAGTAGAGTTCAGGCCCCACGACCGGACCCAAAAAAACAAACAAACAAAATGTTTGGCACCCAAGTGTTTTTGGATTCTATCTATATGTATGTGCAAATATTTCAGAATCCTATACCTTATATACAGTATTTTTAGTGAACCTGAATTTTGACCAATTACATGAGGAAAGGTGTGGAATTTTCCACTGTGGCATTGTATCAGCACTCACAGCATTTTGGATTAAGGATGTGCATCTCATAATAATCTGTACAATGAAACACATTTAGTTGTATACAAAGATCCTTGTTTACACATGATAGATAATTCTAAAAAGTTTAATCCTAAATTAATTAAGGCCTTGAATATATTTCCTTGTAAAAATGATTCAGTCTACTAATTACAAAACAAAGCTTAGAATATAGAGTTTTTGAAGTGTTGTCTTTGATTTGCAATAAACTCAATGAGGGTATAAATCAACTTTAACTGTCTTGAGGTTGTTTCTGTTGTATATTTATCCTACTTTGTGTATTTACACACTGCATTGTGATATATAAACATTGCTGTGCTTCATCACTGGGTTTGATCCTAAGCTCCACTAATGGTTGCTACAAAATTGGACTCTATTTTTTTTTTTGGGGGGGGGTCCGGTCGTGGTGCCTGAATTCTGGGCCTGGGCGCTGTCCCTTAGCTCTTCAGCTCAAGGCTAGCGTTCTACCACTTGAGCCACAGTGCCACTTCCGGCTTTTTTCTTTTTTGCTTATGTGGTGCTGAGGAATCGAACCCAGGGCCTCAAATATGCAAGGCAAGCGCTCTACCACTGAGCCACCTTCCCAGCCCCAAAATTGAACTCTAAAGGCTTATAGTTTTACATATGGGATTGTCAATCTCTTTTTGGCAGGCCTTTATTACCCCACAATAATCATTAATAGTACTCCTTTCCACTCTTCAAAGTGTCCTGAATAGTCACTTGTACACAAAACTCTCTGGCTTACCTTTCCTCAACTCTGTGGATAAGTTTTTTGTTTTTTCTTTTCCAGGGCTGAGGACCGAACCCAGGGCCTTGCGCGCGCCAGGTGGGGCGCCCTTCCGCTGGGCTAAACTTACCCCAGCCCTCTGTGGACAAGTTTATGATCTATTTTCCTCTGAGGCAACTGTCACCAGCACACCACCATGATGAAGTGAGAAACAGGGCTTTACAAGCATTTACAATTTCAAACACTGCCCATACCCAGACTTAACTAGTGGAGAAAACTAGGATATTAGGGCTAAATGCTGTGTACCATCTTGGGAGGCTGGAACCAGACTCCCAATGTGAGCCAGGAGGTGCACTGTGGTGGGAGTGATTACAATGTGAGTGGCTGACGCAGGGCAGATTATTAGGAACAGACTAAAATTCCTGGCACTCTTGGATCCTTTCTCCACTGACATTATCAACTCTACACATTCTCACTCTATCAGACGCTACCAGGGCCTTGTCACAGAACGTGTAAACCCACCCCCACAAAAGACATCGTGATCCTGCCAATAAGTGTTCCTGCATAAATGCTTCAACAAAACCCTAAAAGCAAAAGCTTTTTCTGTGCCTGTTCTTTTTGAAAAACTTTTTCAAGACTTCGATGGTTGTTAAAAATTGTTTTTGGTTGAACGTGCACTACTCTGGGTGAAAAAAAAATATCCCACTGATTTTTAAATAGACATTTTCATTTATGAAATCCCTGTGTGTGAATCCTAAAAGTACACTTGCACACACACACATATACATACATATACACACACATATATCTAAATAGATGCTTCAACAAAATGCATCCCAGGCCACTAGTACCTGTGCAGTGTTGCAGAAATTGAATGTAGACTTTAAAATTGGGTTTTAAAGACTGTGATTAAAAAATATTCCAGCTAAGTGCTGGTGGCTCATGCCTATAATCCTTACCTTCTCAGGAGGCTGAGATCTGAGAATCATGGTTCAAAGCCAGCCAAGACAGTAAAGTCTGTGAGACTCTTATGTATAAGTAACCACCAGAAAACTGGAAGTGGAGCTGTGGCTCCAAGTAGTAGAATGTTAACCCTGAGCAAAAGAGCTCAGAGAGGGCTGGCAAACTGGCTTAGTGGTAGACTGCTTGCCTCGCATGCATGAGGCCCTGGGTTCGATTCCTTAGTACCACATAAGCAGGAAAGCCAGAAGTGGTGCTGTGGCTCAAGTAGTAGGGCACTAGTCTTGAGCTGAAGAGCTGAGGGACAGCGCCCAGGCCCAGAGTTCAGCTCCCACAACCGACCAAAAAAAAGAGCTCAGAGGCAGCTCTCAGGCCCTAAGATCAAGCCCATGACCACCAAAAAAGAAAGTATTCCAGGATTGGGGGCACGGCTCAAGTTATAGAGAGGCTACCTAGCAATTGTGAGGCCCTTAATTAAAATTCTAACAACATCAAAAAAAGCAAAAAAACAAAAAAAAACAAACCAGGGGCTGGGAAGGTGGCTCAGTGGTAGAATGCTTGCCTTGCATGCATGAGGCCCTGGGTTCGATTCCTCAGCACCACATAAGCAAAAAGAAAAAAGCTGGAAGTGGTGCTGTGGCTCAAGTGGTGGAGCGCTAGCCTTGAGCTGAAGAGCTGAGGGACAGTGCCCAGGCCCAGAGTTCAGGCCCCACGACCGGACCCCCCCAAAAAAACAACAACAACAAAACAAACCCTGAACTAGCAAAACAAAAAAAGGTCAATCGGTTCTTTTTTCAAGCCTAGTTTAGATGTTCTTCAAAATAGGTTTTCTTTACAAGATTTCCAGTTCTACTGCAATGCTATAGATTCTGTGTACATGAGTCAAGAAATTAAAGATCATTTCAAAACATTCTCAATTTGGGAGTGGAGTCATTTTTGTATGCTGTATGCCTAGAGTTAGGATATTATATAGTAGATGTAATACTAAGTTTTTAGTAACTTTCTTCTAGGTACTACACCAAGAGCACTCAGCACCTCTCTTGGTGTTTTACTATGGCAACTGAATACCCACTCCACAACAGGTATTGTACTTCAGAACCAGAGGCTTTCAACTGAAGGCAGCTGTGTCTTTCACAGGAGACTTGGCAACGTCTTCAGGCATTTCTGTGTCAAACTGAGACCTACTACAGGAATTTAACCCAAGGATGCTGCTAAATACCCTGCAATACACAGAACAGCACTTCACAATTACCTATTATTCAGATGCAAATATCAACCAAATCGCTGAGGAAACAACTCTGTGTATGAAGACATTAACATAGTAGCTGTTGCTAAAACTAATTTCCATACTTCTACAACTGAAAAGTTAATAGCTTTGTAAAAAAAAAAAAAAAAGACAATGTAAGATGAGATGAAATGTGTCTATCTACTGTATGATAGAAATGTGTTTCCAAAATAAAACAATCATACCTTTTTAACTGCTATAATGTATCCTTCTTCTTGAAACATTTTGAAAAATTCACACATGAATGTCTCTTTGAAACTTGACTGAAACAAAACACAGGATTGAAAATATTAAGTAGATCACTAACAGAATAATGTACTTTGTCTGTGTGTGTGCCAGTCTTGGAGCTCGAACTCAGGGCCTGGCTGCTTTTGCTGAGCTTCTCTGCTCAAGGCTAGTGGCTCTACCACTTGAGCCACATCTCCACTTCCAGCTTTTTGTGGCTAAGAGTCTCATAGACTTTCCTGCAGTCTAACTTTGAACCTTGATCCTCATATCTCAGCCTTCAGAGTAGCTAGGATGAGAGGCATGCGTCAGCAGCGTCGGGCTCCGTATTGTTTTTTAAGCTGAGGAATAAGGGCTAAAGAGTTGTAAGGTATGCAGCTCAAGCCTTTCAAAGCCAAGTGGTGATTTTGGTACAGATAACTAGGTGGATCCTGTATCTCCTTCCTAAATGCCCTCAGGTACATCAGGTTAAGGAAATCTGTCCCCTTTCACAGGTGACTAAGATAGGACATCTGCCTAAAGGACAACTGTAGTGTCTGCTTATACACTGTATTCCAGGATACGGAAGGACATAAAGGAGGGAGACGGCATCAGTGTGAAGATGAAGTAAGAAATGGAGAGACATACCTTGCATTTGGACAGACTTCCCCAGCTTCCCAAAGTTTGAATGGTTTTTGAGATGAGAGTTAATGTCCTAATTGTCTGCGCATCCTAGACAATGTGAAAAGAGACAGAATCACATGAAATGTAACACAGAATGGGCTAATGGCTCTAGAACAGTAACTCAAAAATATTCTGTCAATGGGCTGGAAATGTGGCTTAGTGGTAGAGTGCTTGGTTCGTTTCCTCAGTACCATATAAACAGAAAAAGCCGCAAGTGGTGCTGTGGCTCAAGTGGTAGAGCTTTGAGCCAAAGAAGCTCAGGGACAGTGCCCAGGGCCCTGTGTTCAAGCCCCAGGACTGACAACATGACTCACTGGACTAAGGAATTAAGAGACTGAAGAAATAACATGTAATTTACAATTCTTGTTAGTTAAGATACTACTTTAAAAATTCTTCAAGCCAGGCGCCCGTGGCTCACGCCCTGTAATCCTAGCTACTCAGGAGGCTGAGATCTGAGGATCGCGGTTCAAAGCCAGTCTGGGCAGGAGAGACCGTGAGACTCCTATCTCCACTAAACCACCAGAAAACCGGAAGTGGCGCTGTAGCTCAAGTGGTAGAGCGCTCGCCTTGAGCTGAAGAGCTGAGGGACAGCGCCCAGGCCCAGAGTTCAAGCCCCACAACCGACAAAAAATAAAATAAAAAAGTGAAAATTCTTCAATCCACTTGTAAGCATACTTTATATGCCTTCTGCAGTCAGCTGCTTTCAATATGGAAAAAAACCCAACAAACCTAAATTCAGACTGAGAAACAAGAGGTCACCCTTACCAGAGGGTAACTATGAGTCTACTGAACAAGGCATTTTTCATGCTTATGCAGCCTGACAGAAGTAAATATAAATAAATAAAATTTACAAGAATGGTCTCCTCTCTTTGAGTCCTTGTTCTAAATATTTTTTAACAAATTGAGTCATAATTTACATACAGTGCAGATTTCTTAAATGTATATATAACTGCCTGAGTATTCACCAACTTAAAACATCTGTGCAACTACCCTACCAGGATAGACGCCCAGCACTCAGGAAGCTATGGCAGAGGGTTCTGAGTTCAAGGCCTGGGCTTATGTAGCAGGGTAAATACTGGCTACTTAAAGATATCCTATGTCAAGAAAGAAAAAAAAAGTGCCTAGGAAAATTCAGAGAGAGAGAAATTTAGTATCCAGTAAACATTGTGGAGAGGCGAGGCTGTGAAGCCATCTAGGACTAGATCTCTATGATGGACTTACAAGATACATACCTGAATTATGGTTACTCAGAAAATATTTTCGTTGAAATATTCACAATTTCATGGTATCTATAAAAAGGTCTCTACAATTCTCTGCCTTTGAAAAAAATAATTCTTAAAATGGCACTACTACGTATAAGCTGAATTGAATTTCACTAAGACCACTCAAATTTGGTTTTAAAATTAGTGTTTTATCACTGCCATTTGGCAAGTGTATAATTCATGTTGATCCTTGGTGCATTAAAATTTCTCCTTCATTCTAATTTCTCCCAGATGCCCCACCCACGAATGACCAAATCTTTATCATTTGCCACCTACACACAGCCCAGCACTGGCATGTCACTAAATCCAATATATTTGGTATACATTTTTAAAATTTAACTGAAATGTTGAATTTCTCACCTCAAGGTAACCTAGCACACACATTTCTCATTATTAGGATGAAGCATATGAAACTGCTATTCTTTGACTGTCTTTGGTCTATAAAAAAACAATTTCGTAGGGATCGTAATTGTTCAAAGAAATAATTGTTCGTTACTTTTTCTTTTAAAGATATTATTTCTGATTCCTCCTAGATATCAGTCTGGTAATAGTAAGCCCCCTTTCTCTTTAATCTCTCCCTTTTGCTAGTCTCTTCTCCACTATACATGGTATATGTACATGGTATATGTATATGGTACACCCTTGTCATCTGAGCTTTCTCTGGACTACCATCCTTCCTTTCTCCAACTCTTTCTGAGCACTCACTTGTCCTAGAAACTGTGCGGTGGCTTAGGATACACAATCCAGAAAAGATCCAGTCTTGCTCTTAAGGTGCTAACAGTTCCACATGCAGAGATTATTTTTTTTTTTTTTGCCAGTTCTGGGGCTTGCACCTAGGGCCTGAGCACTGTCCCTGAGCTTCTTTTGCTCAAGGCTAGCACTCTACCACTTGAGCCTCAGCACCACTTCTGGCTTTTTCTGTGTATTCATGCATGCAAGGCAAGCACTCTACCGCTAGGCCACATTCCGAGCCCTGTGCAGAGATTTTCACACAGAGATCATAGTACAAAAATGCCACCACAGAGAGCTATAAACTGCTGAGCACACACAGCAGAGACACATGCTCAAAGTAAGGGCTTAAACATGCTTGCCTTGGCTGGGGCTTGAAAGGGACTATTAAGGAGAGAATAACTGAGCTAGTCTAATCCTTTCTTTCTCAATATGAAACAGTGGTCTACCATGTAATGTTTGTCTAATCCATATTTTAAAATCAGAATATAAAAAGAGGAGCCATTTATGTATGCTTGTCCCAAGCACGACACAGTGAAATGCTTGGATTTGCTTGTGGTTTTCAGCTGCAGGGCAAGTTTGTTCTGTGAACTGCAGCAATGGGAATCGCTCCCAGGCCACTGTGACCTTCAGTCCTGGTCTGGCAATCACTGCTCCCAGGTGAGAGGAACCAATCCTTGCTCCAGGCTCCATAGCAGCACCTGTACTACTCTCTGGGTGCTAAGCAAGTGCTGGATTTACATCTATGCAAATACACACGTACCTTATGTATGCACCTCATTTCTACAACTACCTAAAAGAGTCTTTAAAAAGTAGACCCTGGCTGGTGGCTCACGCCTGTCATCCTAGCTACTTAGGAGGCTGAGATCTGAGGATCACGGTTCAAAGCCAGCCCGGGCAGGAAAGTCTATGAGACTCTTATCTCTAATGAACCACCAGAAAACTGGAAGTGGTGCTGTGGCTCAAGAGGAAGAGTACTCATCTTGAGCTGAAGAGCTGAGGGACCGAGCCCAGAGTTCAAGCCCCACTACCAAAAAAAAAAAGGGGGGGGGGAACTCTGGTTTGAGACCCACAAGGGACAGACACCTACACAAAGAGGAATACAAAAGGGAAATAAACCCCCCAAAATGAGATAAAGTTAGAGATAAAAGCAAATAACAAAATTGTATGGCAGGGATAGTAGGGGAAAAACAAAGGAGGGGGTAACAATGCTTGGTAGGAAATGTACTCATTATCTTACTCATGTAACTGTAAGCCCTTTGTATAGTATCTTTACAATAAAAATAATTTAATAAAAATGATATGGCAGTTTTGAAGCGGTCTTTCTAGCACTTTGATTAGAAAACAGTGAGGTAAAACAGAGTTTGTAGTCAGGGAATGACTTAATTTCAACATCTGTTACTGGAATAAGGAATTCCAAGTGCGTGTACAAGGTTGAGCCCCAAGTTTAGAAGTGGGAGTTCCATTTACATATCACACACTGCTACCAAGCTTTCTCTGACCCAAGGTCTGGACAGTTCTAGTTAACACAGTAAGAGAATGGACAGGCTGTGAACAACAGGACACTGGTCCACTGTCATGGGTATACAAAACATCTGTCCTTTGGAAGAGAGGGTGTTGCTGCTATTGTTACGAGGTTCTGCTCAGTTCTGCCAATGTGTGCAGCTGTCCACTGGAGGTGGACACCCAGAAGCCACCAAGTCCCTCCACATGTATGGAAAAGTGGAGCAGCAGTGTCCTAAGTAGGTACTGTACCACAGCAAGCCGGTGCTAAGCAGCATCTGGCCTATCACTGGCTCTTTAGTATCTATCTGCTTAGGGGGTTGGAGGGCCAAGATTTAAACTCATAGGATCTGAGGTCGACTGAGTTTGAATCCCACTTTAATCCTGCTCAAATGGAGAATGAATAATTATATTGGCTTAGCTGTGTGAGCCTGGAGGTTAGTGTATTGTGATGTCCTTAACTGCATATGGGGCGAAAGGGAATTTGCTCCTATTAGTACTCTGAGTACACAATGAACAAAACATATAAAGTAGTAGGACAGGCACAGAACAAAGCTAAACTAAAAAGATGGTTCCTGTTATGCTTTGTTATAGAAGTCACCAACTGAAAGCATTAATATAAAATGTGAAGGAAACAAAAATAATTTTAAAAATCAAGAGATAAGCATGTAAATATATGTAGTGGGATTTGGATTTAGGTAACTAAATTATGACTTCAAAACCAAAGGATTAGCCAGGAGCTGGTGTCTCATGCCTGTAATCCTAGCTACTCAGGAGGCTGAGATTGGAGGATCACAATTTGAAGTCCATCCAAGTAAGAAAGTTCATGAGACTCTTATCTCCAACCAACCACCAGAAAACCAGAAGTGGCACTGTGGCTCCCAGTGTAGAACACTAGCCTTGAGCAGAAAAGCTCAGGGACAAGGCCAAGACCCTGTGTTCAAGCCCCACAACCATAAAAAAATAAAAATAAAAAGGGAAAGAAAATTTCTGAGATTTTTAAGAATCACAGAATAAACTATCTTAATAAACCAGGAAAGTAGGCTCTGTTAAATACTACCACTACCAAAAACCTCTAGCTAAACAAAACCAAAACCAACCAAATAATAATAATAATAAAACCCCTTGTGCTATGAAAATTTACAAATATAACAGAGGAGGGAAAAAGACGATGAAGCTCTTTTGTGCTCATCACCGGCTGTCAACCCTGTCAACATTTTCTCATACCTGGGAACTCTCTCTTAACAACCAACAGAATTTCAGTCCTATGTGAAGGCTAATACAATCAAGGAAAAGGCCAAGTAGACTCAAGTGTCAGTTACAAGAACACATAGCCAAATGAACTTGGCTGACTTGATCTTTTCTTTCGTCTACGAAAACTAAGAGTGGAATAAAGCGTTGAGAAGAACAAACACTTACTGGATGGTGAGGTCGCAAATGAAAAGTATGAGGTGACACTACGGCTACAGCAAAGAAACGCAGAAATACAAAGCTGCTCACGGCAGAATACTGAACATGAGGGTCATCTGCAGGAAAAAATGGTGAAACGTCATGCACGAAGATGGTAAAGTAAAAAAATACCAAAAAGACATGTAAACCAAGCAGGGGAGCCATATAACTTGTCTAAGTAAGGATTAGGTTGATGAAGTGACAGTAATGTTTATGGCTAAATTAAATGAAAAAAAATGCTGTAACTAAAAAAACAAAAACAAAAACCTGAAAAGTAGAAGGAATAAAATGAAAGGCAAAGCTGGAGGGCTTTCAGAAACACCTTAATTTGAAAAGGATCTCTTTCCTCATCGACTGCTCTGGAAATTACCAGAACAAAATTGGTATCTAGCGCCACCTAGTGGCAACACGAAATCCCTCTCAACAGATGCCACAGCGTCACCTTTTCAATTACCCCCTGGGAGTCTCAATGCTATCAAAGGCTGCATGGGATGGTTTTCCTGGCTTCAACTTCATGGCCTTGGTAAGTTAGAACAATGTTCATGAAGACATTGTCACAGACTTCAGCTTAGGAGGACCTCTCACCTCATCAATGCATTAGTGAACTAAAAATGTGAATATGCGGGGAGGTGGTAGGTCTGTGGGGAGCCACAGGAGAAGCAGGTCGCTGGGGACATGCTTTTGAAAGGTTATCTTGGCTCTGGCCCCTTCCTGTGTCTATTCTCTGGTCCCTGGCTGCCGTTAGCTGAGCAGCCTCAGGGCCCATGCTCCTACCGTTATCTTTTCTGCCTTGTCCGAGCAGTGGACTCTGCAGACATTGGGTTGAACTTCCCAAACCATGAACCAAAGTACATCTTTTCACCTTTTAAATGGCTGCAGGTTATTTGTCTCAGCAACAAAAAACTAAAGTGCTATACAATAAAAAACAACGAGCAGACACGTCTACTTTTACAAAGCTCTCAATATTTCCCACAGAATGTGTATGAACTGAAGGCTCTGCGGCTCTGCTCACTCACTGACAGCAGCTGCTGCAGACTGGAGAGAGCACTTAACTAGAGAAGCAGGCAGCCAGGAAAAGAAGCTCTGGGTTTGGTGTGAGTTTTAACTTTGCTCACAGCTGGCACTCTACCACTTGAACCACGTATCTCCAGTCTAGCTTTTTTGGTGGTTAACTACAGATATAGTCTCTTGGACTGTTCTTCCAAGACTGGCTTCAAACCCAGATTCTCAGGTATCAGTCTACTGAGTAGCTAAAATTAAAGGAGTGATCCACCAATGCCTGGCCTGGCCTGCCAATCACCCAATAGTAATTCGTTATTATTATTTTGTCATTTGTGGGGTATATCCTCAGGGCCTGGGCACTGTCCATGAGCCTCTTTGTGCTCAAGGCTAGTGCTCTACCACTTGAGTCACAGTGCCACTTCCTTGAGTAGTTAATTGGAGATTAAGAGTCTCACAGGGACTTTTCTGCCCAGGCTGGCTTTGAACTGTGACCCTCAGATCTCAGCCTCCTGAGTAGCTAGGATGACAGGTGTGAGCCTAGCTTACTGGTAAGCCTGGATTACTTGTGCCGGCTGTACTTGTTTTTCTTTATAATACTTGCTTCCTGTCTGCTGCCTTCATCTTCCCATGGTAATGAGAACAAATGAGAGCATATGAAAATAATTTGTAGCAATATACATTATCAATACTCTAGGCTACTGAGGATATGAAGGTTAAGCTAACAAAAAGTAAAGGAGATATAGCTGTTAGAACATTTATAGAAAGAAGAATTAAACATTTAAAAGTATATTTAAGGCCAAGATCACCTGGCAGTATTGAGGACAATGATTTGTACTTCTGCTTAGGAATAGGCCAGGGTCTGAGTTCTGGCTTACCTTGTAGCTAACCTTGGTAAACTTAATCTCCCTCCCCCTGCCTGGGATTTAAATTCAGGTCCTAGGCACTGTCCCTAAAGTTTCTTTTGTTCAAGGCTAGCCTTCTATCACCTGAGCCACAGTGTCACTTCTGGCTTTTTCTGTTTATATGGTACTGAACCCAGGGCTTCACGCATGCTAGACAAGCTCTCTATCACTAAGTCACATTCCCAGCCTACTTTAGTTTTATTTATGCCTTCCCTCCCAGACCTTCTCCCCTCCCCTTCCTTATGCTTCCCTCTTTCTCCTTCCTTCAAAACTGGGGTTTGAGGGGAAAATAGGGAAGAACAAAAGAAGGGGTAACACTGACCAAGAAGCAGTATACTCATAACCCGACTTACGGAATTGTAAACTTTGTATAACTACACAACAACAACAACCCATATAAAGCACTTGCTAGGCAGGTGTTCTACCATCTGAGCCTTGCCCTGCTCAGTTTCATTATTTAACTAAGGGGAGCAGCAATGGCCTGGAGTGATGCTGAGGATGACCAGGCCAGAGAGGCACTTGTCTATACACTATGCGGTTGATGTGGTTATCATGGTGTAACTCGTTATTTAAAAATATGATTTAATAGGCATTTCCTTATTCTATAATGGCTCTGCTTTTATTTCTGCCATAAAGACTACATTTAATAGTTATTTGTAGTTAAAATGCTTATACACCTTTATAATTAGCCCAAAATATCTAGATCTCAATTTGTAAGTTAGATACACCACTTTCACACTGAGTAAGTTAAACAGAGGAACAGATAAAAAGGCATATTTAGAAGAATATAGTAATACAGTAAAATCTCTTCAGACGGCTACAAAAATAAACGTAGTGTTTCAGACAGCTGGATAAGACTGATAATTTAAATACCTTCCCTTCCCCTCCATTAGAGGAAGCTCTGGAAAGACACCTATAGCATGCTCATTTACCTACCAGAGACACACTGAAATTAAGAGCAAGTGCGGTACTGACAGCTGATCTTGCAGCATTAAAGCAGCCAGTGAGCTTTTCCTCAGAATCCTGTGTGCTGTACTATCTATTTAAGGATACCTCCCCAACCAGACCCTGGCCTTCTCAAACTGCCCGGTCTAGCCTGCTACACAGAATTAACATTAACACTACTGGGATATATGCAACTGGAAAAAATAGTTGGCACCATAAGCGAAGGCATTTTAAAAACTGTATTTAATAATCTCAAGCATATGGCATGAAGCCTTACGCAAAAGTTAGTACCATTTTGACAAACTTTTAAGATACTAAATGTTTCTTTATAGAAATAATGCATATAAACCAAACACACAATTGACCCCTGAGCTGTAAAGAGAGTAACAAGCAAGGCACTTACTGGGAAACCTCTGCGCGGCCATCTGCCTCAGAGAGTAGAAGATGTCACACATCACCGTTGGGCAGCTCATGCTTGACTTCACAATTGTGCTGAACAACTTGTCCACATAGTAACGCAGATTCTCCTGAAGGAGTTAAAGAAACAAGCATTAAGATCCTGACTCCTATACACCTTCAACAGCCTTTATGGGAAAAAAAAAATCAAAACCGTAATGAAGATAAGATTAGAAAGTTACTGTAGAGAACTGTAACCCGGCTTCCTGTCTCCAAACCCATTCAGTTCCATAGAAGTTACTGGTCTCTTCTAAGGTGATTACACTCAGATTTAGAAGAATATATGAACAACGTTCATCAGGAGTAAGAGAGAATACGTGATGGAGAGGGAAACCTCAGGACAGTGCTGCTGGTACCTTGTTGCCCTCGTACTAAGGGTTCTGTCAATAGACAACTAAAAGTACTGACAGAGCACCCCGCTATGCCAGCTTAGCATACTCAGAGGGGTGGCAGAGGGATGGTTAAAGGCTCCCAGTAGACAGAGCCCAAATCCACTATCATTACTACAACTAAGAACAAAACCAGGTCTGGGTAGTGGAATATGACTGTATTCCTGGTTACTTGGGAGGCAGAGGCAAAAAGTTGTGGTCTGAGGCCAGTTTGGACAAAATTAGTTAGACACCTTAAAAAAAAAAAAGAGAAGGGAAGAAAGGAGGGAGGGAAAGAAGAGGGCTGGGGCTACAGTTCAAGCGGCAGAACACTTGCTAAGCAAGCATAAGTCCTGAGTTCAATCCCCAGTTCCACAAAAAAGCTTCATATAAAAAAGGGAAATCACGGGGCTGGGAAGGTGGTTCAGTGCTTGCTCGCATGTATGAGACCCTGGGTTCGATTCCTCACAGCACCACATAAACAGAAAGAATAAAAGCCAGAAGTGGTCCTGTGGCTCAAGTGGTCGAGTGCTAGTCTTGAGCTGGAGAGCTGAGGGACAGCGCCCAGGTCCAGAGTTCAAGATCCATGACCAACAACAACAACAACAAAAATAAAGTGAAATCATGGACTGGGAATGTGGCTTAGTGGTAGAGTGTTTGTCTAGCATTCATGAACACCTGGGTTTGATTCCTCGGTGGTAGAACACCATTCTTGAGCAAAAGCAGCTCAGGGACAGTGCTCAGGCCTTGAGTTAAAGCCCCAGGACTGGCAAAAAAAAATAAATAAATAAAAAAGTGAAACCATTTAGTATGTAACATTCCAAGGACCAGCTGGACAAGGAAGGCTGAGCGGTTACAGTGTGAATGGGGCCTGAATGACACTAAAGCCGATTTTAACCGGAACGTACCTTGTTATTTTCTACGTTATCTCCCTCTTTTAGTTTAATGGGATCAATTTCACAGGATTTTGAGGATTCACATATCTGGAAAATACATGTGTTTCATTTAATGATAAAATGAAAATAACTCTTATCTGATGTGTTGATTATGATGACTAAAACATTACTACTGAAGTTTAAAAGTCTCTGACCACAAGTGATATATATATATATAATGTATGCATAAATAATGCATGTGGGTTTATACAAAACATGCCAGACACTTATTTCTCAGACCCTTAAAAGTCTATGGCAGAGACTGTTTTGCTAACACAGGAATGGAGACTTTTGCTGTCGGCACATCACCCCTAGAGAGCAGGCTGCAGATGGCTGCGGGCGTGAGCGCGCTGTACCTCATCTAGAGTAGACTTCAGCGTCACTTTCAGGTAGTGACCGCCCGCCACTTTCATCATTTCATCCAGACAGCGGGTAGCCAGAGAATTTCCTCTAAAAATGGTGTTCGCATCTCTGAAACAGAAACAAACGGAAACCGATGAGCGTGCGGGAGAAAATAAAGCGGGAAATGTCACAGGACTTCCTTGGCATTGGTCAGACAGCTTTAGTAATTTTTACCATTCAATGAGAAAGGTGTTGCTGTCAGGTTTCTCAAACCTACCAAAATTACTTCCTGAAAATAGGGGAAAGTGTATTTATTTTCAGCAGGGTGTGGAGGGACACAGCTGGGAGGCTGTGGCAGGAGACTCTAAAGTTCAAAACCCTGTCTTCAAACAAAAACAGACACAAATAACATATTTTCAGTAGCCAAGTGGTATTATTTTCAGAGGATTTTACATGAAACTAATATTTATTTTAGCCACTGCTTTGTTTGCCAAGTTCATATGATTGATAATTTGATTCATAAGATACTGATAACAGCTAGGTGCTGGTGGCTCACGCCTATCATCCTAGCTACTCAGGGGCTGAGATCTGAAGATCATAGTTCAAAGCCAGCCTGGGCAAGAAAGTCTGGGAAATTCTTCTCTCCAATAAACTGCCAGAAAACCAGATGTGGCACTGTGATTCAAGAGGTAGAGCCTTGAACTGAAGAGCTGAGGGACAGCGCCCAGGCCCTGAGTTCAAGACCCATGACTCACAAAAAAAAAAAAAAAAAAGAACTGATTATGGAATACCCTTTCCAATGACACTACATTCCATTTTCTAACAAATAGCTATAACTTGGTGCATTTTAACAAAAATAAACGGAGCATTAGAAAAAAACGCATAGCTATTTGCTGCCTGCTAAGCAGTGCTTTATAGCCTGCTGTACAATAAGGTGGTTGATACAATAGAACTCGGACTAGAAAACAAGTTACAAAACCAAGTCCCATTTTGGACAGCACAGTTAACGTTTAATGAAATACAACGCTTACTGGATATCCTTCAAGTCTAGTTCAGCCACTGCGGTGACAAAAGGAACAAGTTTATCATGGTGCAGCAGCAATCGTACAAGGGGCAGAACGGCATCATTTTTATCTCGACATATTTCACCCAAAATGTAAGCAGCTGAGGCAGATATTGGCTAGAATACAGAAAAGGAGAAAACAAGTACAGAGTCAAAGAAACATGATTAAATGCTCAATCACCGATCTGCAAAAGTAACTTAAGTATGCTTATCAATGATGATTTAATGAAATAGTGTTTCATCTTCTAAATTCCAGATCAAGTCTGGAGGAAACAATTCAATCAGTACTCTGGCTTAGAGAAACTGAATATACAAATAGTAAGATTTGATGATCTATAATCTTCTTTATCAGTTACAGAATCATTAACCTTTCCATATTAAATCATCCACTTAAGAAAGTCTTAAAGTACCCGAACATCTGGTGATTTTAGCAGCAAGGTTTTTAAAGGACCATAGTACTCTGAAGGCAGCACATAGTCTTCTGTATAGCATATGTTTAATCGAAGGGATCCCAGGTCGTCACTTTTAGATGACTTGTTGCCATTGTCTCTAGGTTGTAGCAAGTACCTAAGTGAAAACAGAACCGATTCCATGTGATGGCAGAGACTATCCAGCCAAGAGAATAAGCAACTACATAAGCTAGTAAAAAGAAACTGATACTGTGAAATTTTGGAAATTATGTAATCAATCTCAATAAAGAATTTGAAGAAAAAAAAAAGAAACTGGCCAACAGGCAGTGGCTCACTCCTGTAATCCTAGCTGCTCAACAGGCCTCAGACTCCTCCGCCACAATCTGAGGATCATGGCTTGAAGCCAGCCTTGACAGGAAAGTCCATGGCACTCTTTTTTTTTTTTTTTTTTGGGTCCGTCCGGTCGTGAGGCCTGAACTCTGGGTCTGGGCGCTGTCCCTCAGCTCTTCAGCTCAAGGCTAGTGCTCTACCACTTGAGCCACAGTACCACTTCTAGCTTTTTTCCTTTTGCTTATGTGGTGCTGAGGAATCGAACCCAGGGCCTCAGGCATGCAAGGCAAGCGCTCTACCACTGAGCCACCTTCCCAGCCCCCTCCACGGCACTCTTATCTCCAATGAATTACCAAAAAGTGAGAAGTGGAGCTGTTGCTCAAGTGGTAGAGTGTCAGTGTTGAGCACAGAAGCTCAGGGACAGCACCTAGGCCCTGAGTTCAAGCCCCAGGACAAGCACAAAACAAAAGAATAACTGTGCTGCAAATGTTATTTGCAAAAATCATTGTCATGAATTTTTTGAAGTATATTATGCAAAAATAGAGGTACCCTGAAATATCTAAGAATGTTTAGAAATCAAGGTGTTTGTAGAACCAAAGCCATAAGCCTAATGTTCAAATCATGATGAAAATTTAAAGTACATATAAAAGCAGATTAAGGTACTGAACCCTCTTCAGTATTTCACCTAGCTCCCACAACGATCAATCCGACTAGCCTTGTTTCACCGGCCCTGAGTCACGCTTATATTATTTTATTTTTTATTTTTTTGGTCCGGTTGTGGGGCCTGAACTCTGAGCCTGGGCGCTGTCCCTCAGCTCTTCAGCTCAAGGCTAGCGCTCTACCACTTGAGCCACAGCACCACTTCCGGCTTTTTTCTTTTTGCTTATGTGGTGCTGAGGAATTGAACTCAGGGTCTCATGCATTGCAAGGCAAGCGCTCTGCCACTGAGCCACCTTCCCAGCCCTTGTATTATTATTTTAAAACAATTTTCAGGTATCTTATAATTTCACCTATCACTTTAATTTTTTGGTCAGTCGTGGGGCCTGAACTCTGGGCCTGGGTGTTATCCCTCAGCTCTTCAGCTCAAGGCTAGCGCCCTATCACTTGAGCTACAGCGCCACTTCCTCACTTATCACTTTAAAAATCATCAGATTCTCCCAAATGTTAAGCTATCTCAGTCCCTTTAGTTCTTACAGGAACTCTACAGAAGTTACATAGTAAAGCACTCAGAACTGTGTAAAGGCCCACACCATGTCAGAGCTACATAAACACCAAAGCTTCTGAAGTTTTCCTGTAGTTATCATCAATCCCACAGGGGGATGCTACAGCTCTGCAACTATCGAAGGAGGCAGGGTTTCATTTCTGACTTATTTTTTTTATTTTATACTCATATTATTTCCTTACATTCATGTTAGCACACATGAATTAGTAAATGTTTCCAGTTTATGCAGCATAAATTTAGCACTTACACTTTTGACAGGTTACTTTAATACACTCCTGCTGATAACGCATGTTTCTCAGTTCTGTCAAGGTAGCAAGATAGTTGTGCCAAATTTGAATGAAAGGGTTTGGTTACAAACTGTCTCATTTAAAACATAGCCTATATGGTACATTTAAAACTCATTTTGAGGGTCCAGAAAGTACAACTCATTTTCTCTTCTGCACTGAGTGGCATGCCATATAAATTTAAAGGGTTACAAACTGAGCTGAGAAAATTTCATTTCTAAATATATGCTATTTAGCTGCTATTTTATGGAAGGTAGAGGAAGACAAGATTATGTGTGTGTGGGTGGGGAGGGGATGGGACCCAAGTCCCAAATATTCATCTATTGTATCTTAGACCTGCATTAGGAAGTGGCAAAAATGAAATAAAGTTGAACCTGACGATCAGTCTATAGAAGTTAACTACTAGGGGACAGCACAGCTCCAAATGAAGAGTGTCTGCTCAGCCAGAAGAGGTGTGCACTCCTAAGCACACTGAGACTGCTGCCTGAAAGAGCCCCTCACTGTCCGCGCCAGCTCCTCGTAAGCAATCAAATGAAGTTCTACAGAGTGGTCCTGATGAAGCTGCTTAATACCTAATGGGGTATAGATACCACATTTGTAATTGTGTGTGTGTGTGTGTGTTGATTCCAGGGCTTAAACTCAGGGCCTGAATTCTGTCCCTGAGCTTATTTTGTGCTCAAAGTTAATGTTCTACTACTTGAGCTCCACTTCTGGCTTTTTGGACAGCTTAGTGGAGATGAGTCTCATGGATTTTCCTGCCTGGGCTGGCTTCCAAGGAAAACCCTGATCCTCAGATCTCTGTCTCCTGAGTACCTAGAATTACAGGTGTAAGCCACTGGCACCTGGCTTATACCATTTCTTAATCCATTAATTCACTGGTGCACATTCTACCATAAAAAGGACAAAATACTGTCATTTGTTGGCATATGGATGGAGCTAGAGGACATTATGATAAGTGAAATAAGGAACACCATATCTCATACTCTCATTCATTTGTGGGAGCTAATAGGCCTCATGTAGGAGACAGCAGGACACAGGCCAGCAGAGGGTGAGGGAGTACAGACAGAGGTAGATAATGGAAACCAAAACTCAGCTGGAGAAGCAGTTCTAAGGGTAACTATAGTCCACCACAAATATGTATTTCACCATAATTAGAGAAGAGTTTGAAGGTCCCAAACACATAAAAGGAGATAATAAAAGTACTGCCCTGATTTGATTATTACACATGGTGAACATATGTTGAGTTATACTAATTGCAGCTTGTGAACAAGCACAAACATTAAATGTTGGATAAAAAGATCTTTAAAAAGCAAATGAGAGGGCTGGGAAGGTGGCTCAGGGGTAGAGTGCTTGCCACGCATGCATGAACCCTAGGTTCGATTCCTCAGAACCACATAAGCAGAAAAAGCAGGAAGTGACGCTGTGACTCAAGCGGAAGAGCGCTAGCCTTGAGGTAAAGGGCTGAAGGTCAGCACCCAGACCTGGAGTTCAGGTCCCACGACAGACCGGGGAAAAAAAAAAAAGCAAATGAGAAAGGTATATTAATTTATACTCAGTTGAGAGCCAAGTCTAGAAGGGGGGTGCTGGGCTCACTACAGAAAAGGGACAGGATAGACAAACTTCTAAATGCTCTTGTCACCAAAACCAAAATCCCTATCATTTTTTTGTTGTTGTTGTCAGTCATGAGGCTTAAACTCAGGGTGTGGGCGCTGTCCCTGAACTCTTTTGCTCAAGGCTGGGACATTACCCCTTTGAGCCACAGCGCCACTTCCGGCTAGCGCTATACCACCTTGAGCCACAGCGCCACTTCCGGCTGGCACTCTACCACTTTGAGCTACAGTACCACTTCCGGCTTTCTGGTGGTTAACTGGAAGGAAGTCTCATGGACTTTTCTACCTGGGCTGACATCAAAACACGATCCTCAGATCTCAGCTAATGAGATGTCATTGTTTTTTTGCTCATTATACTAGCTAGGAGAAGCTAGGATGAGCCACCAGTACCTGGCTTTCCCATATCAGTTCTGCTAAGGAAATCAGCACCCATTTAATGTCTGAACATTAACATCAGTTTAATGCCACTATGAGCCTCATAAAAAGATAAAATAGCTAGGTGCCAGTGGCTCACACCTGTAACCCTAGCTACTCAGGAGGCCAAGTCTGAAGATCACAGTTCAAAGCTAGCTTAGGCAGGAAAGTCTGTGAGGCACATCTTCAATGAATCACCAAAAAGCCGTAAATGGTGCTATGGCTGAAGTGGCAGAGTGCTAGCCTTGAGTAAAAAAGCTCAGGGACAGTGCCCAGGCCCTGAGTTCATGCCCCAGGACTAGCACCAAAACAACAACAAAAACCAAAAACAACCAACCAACCAGCAACAACAACAATAACCACAAAACCCCAAAATAGTACTAGAGCTATTATTGAGCCCTCAGGGTGCCTGAAAAGTGAATCAGCTCAATAAGACCCTATATACACAGAAAATATACCAAGGCCATCTTCAGTGCATTTCAATGGATGCTGAGGAAAAACCACTAGCTACTTCCCATCAACCAATGAGCCTCTTGATAAAGTTTTTGCTTTCAAATATCCATAGTTCCTGGGATAAAAATAAAGGTTCTTTCTGAACTGAAGATGTTGAGGTGTGAACCCTATTTCTCACAGGGGTGACTCATGTAACGTGTCCATTTCTTGGGTTTAAGACCTCATTTTTAAATAGAAAATATTCCTAGACAATTCAGTTCTTATATTTTTGTAATAATTCATACCAAATCAGGTAATGTCAATGACTTTTGGCTTATTCCTCACAAATTTAAAACACGTTCACGGTAAGCACTTATTTGCATATACAAGGTATTAAAGAAGATTAAATTATGAAGTTCACTAGAATGTTATTTCTTCTTACCAGGCTTGATGAGAAGAGTCATTTCTTAACACATTCACAGGAACTTTAATCTCACCCAGGAAAACATCTTGGACCAGATTTCCATTATTCCACAAATCAATCCTGAAAATTGAAAACTGGTTTTATTTATTTTTTTTCTTTTTGTAAGCAGTGTTTAAGAGCAAAAGTACACTGACAAATAGCTTCAAAATACTTTTGACGACTGAATTAATTTTACATGCTTCAAAGCAAGAGATGTTAGTATTGTCATATACCTCACTTCCCAGACTAAATAATCAAAATATTACTGGTGGCTTTTATTTTAAAAAGTTTTTAAGCATCAATTCTAAATACTATAAAGGAAGGCATTTAGGTTTCTTAGTGTGAAGAGTCTAGGCTTTTTTTTCTTAAACCTGAAGCAATAAGGATTAACAGAGTTATTGATAAAAATAAACCAGTAAGACTACAGTTACTCTCTTAACTATAGTAGTCAATTAGCACGTAAACATAGGGAATTTTCAAAAGCAGATCACCTGACTACCCCAGGCACGTGATTAATAGATCCTTTAGATGAGCACACTGTCAACACCACACCTACACATGCATTTGCAAAACTTTCTTTTCCAGAACAGCATAGATACTTAAGGCCTGGAAGTTATCACAAACTTCAAACGCATGCAGCCTGTTGAATTATCTTCTTACCTCACTGAAATTTCTGATAGTCAGCAGATATGTTAAGGAGAATAGACAAGTTATTTCTAAATTGGCTTAGATGTCATTTTTTTTTGCTCATTATACTACAATCCAGGTATTTAAGAAACAAGGATATATTAAACATACAACAGGTAAAAACGAGACTGGTTTTTGCAAAATAAACTGTGACTACTTCTGCACAGAAATCATGATTTTGAAAGGACAATTTGGATTTAAATTAGATGCATGTTCCACTAAGTTTAATCAATCAGCTTTCCACACAGCCCCGATGTACATACCTAATTTCTAGCTTTTCAATGTCCTCCTCTTCTACCTGGAATTGAGACTTTCTGGTGTAACTACTGGATCGGGTAACCTATAAACAAAATATTTTAGCAATTTTTAAAGTTTTCTACATGACTGTAACAATGAGCATTCCTAAAATATTCAATTACAAACCTAACTATAGGAAAGTGCTGAAGTAATATTCTGCCTAAGAATAGGAAAAGTTTGCGTTGGAGGTGGCAGAAAGGTAAGGAAAAGGTGATGTGAAACTTCTTTAAAAGCATCCTGGCTACTCTTAAACCAACAATCCACTGCCTGAGCAAAAACAATAACAAAACAAACACAATTAGAAAGGAGTGGAAGAAGGTGTTGGTTGATTTTTTTAAAAGAATCTTAAAATATGTAATCAATTGCATTATATGGCCTTTTCTAGATCCTGATTTGTTTCTTTAAAAAAGAGGGAGATTTCAAGAAGAGAGAGAAAGTGAGAGTACTCCTCAGACAACCAACAAATAGCAAGACTCACTGGACTTCGAATATTATCACCAAATTTTATTGTTCCGAATTATGCCTATGGTGATTGTGATTCAATAGCATAGTGTTGTCATCTATACATACGTTTGGAAATATTTACATGTGACATTATGTAAGTGATGTAACATCTAGAATTTGCTTCAAAACAATCAAGGGTTAGAAAGAGTGAGAAGAGATCATTAAAAATAGAACCGGTCATAAGTGAATAATTTTTTTTCTTTTTTTTTCCAAAATTTTTGTTAGGCTTAAGTGGTTACATAATTTCCCAAATTTCACAGCATTGTGGGATAGTGATGCTCAGTTAAAGTCACAAACACATTCTAACTTTCCTGGAGCAAACTGTCTATCACGGTCTATAACATTTATGAATTTTATGAGCTTTGTCATAGTTATCTCTTCCACATTGGGTGATGTGTACATTTCTTTTGTTTTGCATAGCATCAGCTGTTCCCTCTTTCCCACTTGTTCCCTCCCTCCCATCGCTGCCATTGAGATGACTAGTGCATTCTGGCCAATGTCCAGTGCGGCTGATGGGTCCCGCTGTTATATGTTTTTCCCTGATTCCCTATAGTTCTTTTTTTTTTTTTT